TCTACAACTCTGTTAATTGGTAACTTGGAGATGGAGAGTCCTTATTAGCAATGCCTCCCCCCCCCGCGCCCGCTGAAGCCAACCCCATGAGGCGATTGCCAGGAGGAGCTGTTTGTCAAAGGCTAATAAACAAATTCCTCGCGAACACCTGAATGAACGAGGGCCAGGAACAACCCAATTAAGAAACGGAGCTACTGGTTGTTTTTTGTGGCGGTGGAAACAATCCGGGCTCGAAAAGGGTCTATTCAGCGGGCGCTCCGAGAGGTCTGTTTGCAGCCCGCTATTGTTGTCAGAAGCCAAATAAAAGTTCAGATGGGGGGGAAGAGTGATTAAAAACAACATTCGCCGCTGCCTCCTGAATGCACTGGGAGGCTCAGTTCAGAGGACTCGATCTGTACCCAAACGACGCTGCCCGGGTTTTACCCACGCACTTAAGATTTTTGTTCTTAAACGTTGTTATTTTTAATGATGTCGTTAAAAGTTATCCCTTGCTTTACGTGAGCAGCGGGGACAACTGTAGTCTCCAGTGCAGCATGGATATCAATGCGGCGAGGTACTGGGGAAGTCACAGAAAGGAGTTGGAGCTCGTTTGTGGGAACTAATGATTTGTTCTCCCTCTCGCTGGGCTGGAAGGTCGGTCCAGCCGTGCCAGCCCCGCAGCGAGGCAGCCTCCCAAGCAATCTCGAGCTGGTGTTTTTTTTTTTTTTTTTCCTTTGACATGACACCGTTAGATGGGGAATAAAAAAATCTCCTAACAACCTCGGGCTGCAGAACCAGCTTGAAATGATCCATTTAGCAGCCAAGTTACCACCCTGGAAACTTCTGGGGGAGGACGTGGATTCGAGCATAAACCAGGGATCAAACAGAGAAGCACGTGAAGTTTTATCTTGAGCATCGTTAAAAGCTTGGAAATTTTCGGGGGATCATCCTAGCGAGGGTCAGCAAGGTCCAAACGAAAGGGCCGCGCAGCTCCCGTGTCTGGGCAAGTTTCGAGGACAAGACCTCGCCGAGCTCGGTCGGGAGTTAGGCTGGGGACCAGGGGAGATGTTTTAATAATAGGATTAAACAGGACCGGTTTGATGCATAGCATTATTCTTTAAAAGCCAGCGATCCTCCCTGACACGGTTCCAAGATTTCCCCCAAGCTCTGCTGGAGCTGCAATTAACATATATTAATGGTTGTCGCTTATTAAGCGCTGATTGCATAAGAAACAGACGGTCCCTTTCAAATGTGCCTTTCAACCGTGGGGTTTCTCTCGCGTTCAAGTTGGATTGCGCTGTAAACTCCTGATTTCGCCTCACGTTCCTTTGTCACCAAAAAGAAAAAAATAAAATGGTGGGCTTCTCTGCCTTTGACAACTGTATTTACACAACCCCGAGTGTTCCCCGACTCCCACCAGACACATGGGGCTCTCCGGCCCCGGACAGCTTCTCCCCTAGTCCCGGCCACCGCCGAGGAGTGAATTTAAGAAAATGGCTTCGGGCATGAGGCTTCCCCCACCCCCGTTTATCGCGCTGGCTGGGTCCTCTCCTGCCCTTCTGCCCTTTCCCTTCTTTACAGCCGTTCCAGAGGCTCCGTCCCCTTTCCCGGGACGTGGGACGGACAGGACCGAGGAGCAGGCGGAGGCTTGAATTCGCTTGTGGCTGCGAGGGGGATTGTGGTATCAGACCTTTTAAAGCGCTTTGCGGGTAACTTTAGGGAGCAGCAGCTGACATAGCGGGGCTTGCCCCGCTTCCTCCTCTCCCCCAACTCGCCTCACCGGCGAGCTGTAGTTTTCAGACGAGGGGAGGGAGAAGGGAGCTACTTCTCCTCCCTCCGGCCCCGCTTGCACTTGCGGGAGCAGTGGGGGGCGAGCGCTGGAGGTAGCCCCGAGCCTCCTTTCTCTGCTTCACCCACCCCTTCGCCCCGCACCAGCGGGCCCGTCCCACGCCGCGTCCCTCCCGGGGGGCACCCGGCCGCAGGTGCAGCCGCGGGCTGGGCGGCGGAGAGGAGCCGCCCCGGCCGTGCTGCTGGCAGAGACCGACAGGTCCGGGCTGCCCCGGCCAGCTCCGCGCCCCGGTGCGCAGCGCCTGCCGGGCGCCTCCCGGGCAGGGGACTCATCCGCCGAGCGGGGAAGGACGGCCCCGAGGGGACTCACAGAGCCTGGGAGAGGAGCTGCCTTCTGGCTCTCCTCTCGGGCGCTGAACCCTTCAAGAAATCCTACCGAGAGTTGCCTACGGGCACCCATGGCTAATGCCGAGGCAGAGGGGTTTGAGTAGCATGTCCCTGTCCTTCTTCTGGAGATCACAGACCATGTGCGGCGTGGAAGCCCTAGTGCAGTGGGAGCATTACGGGGACCTGTGAAGTGTGGAAATACACACATCTATACTTACTTTATTATTCAGTCACGTGCAGTTGATCTACAAGATTAGTGATGTTCCAAGAGACATTGGATCCTAAAGTGTTAAATAGCGTGACCTTTGGGAAAAAGTGATTATAATTGGAGTCTCAGGCAGGTCAAAGACAAAGTAAGAGTCTGAAACTTAACGTTGTAATATTTATTTAAACATCGAAGGAAACACCGTTCGCGGTGCTTTCAACGTGTCCTCTAATTCCCTATTACCGCCTCATTTTTCGTTGCAGGCAAGCGTGTTCCGTCCTTCCAACAAATGTTTCCAGAATGTCATTTCAAAAAATTGTCCGGATATATTCCAGTCCGCTTTCCAGCCCAGACTGGCACGTCTTAAACCTCGACTGGAGCGGTCAAAATATTTGGAGGGGTTTGAGGTTAAATACAGCTGTCTAAAGCTTTTCCAATATGTTGCAAAAGTTACAAGCGACCCCCTCCCGAGGTGCGCTTTCTGGTATGACACCGCCTGAAACAACACCTTCCGCTGCCGCCCTCTCCGCTCGGGCTGCAAAATTTTGACTTCACCCAAGAACACACCAGCAGCAAACCAAACAAAACCAAAATGCAGACTACACCATAGCTCGTTGCAAGTGGGATTTATTTCCCCTTCGACTTTGTTCAACAGATTATTTTGTCAAAAAAAAAAAAAAGAAATCTGTACAAAACGAGTGACATCTTAAACTGCAAAATCACAGTAGTGCTCAGATAAAAATCCCACCACGACATCCCGCCGTTTCCAGAGTGCCACACTGCCGTTTAAAGGCGGCCAGTTTGC